CGGAGCTTGCCCTGCCCGGGCAGGAGGGGTCGCGTTCGCTTCGCCGGCGAGAAGCGTCCGGCGGGAGCTGCTCTGCCTCGCGGGGCAGGGGTAGCGCCGGGGAGGTTCGTTCCCCTGCCAGGATAATTCTGAAGGGTGACGTGAGTGCTGTGGAGAGGAAAGAAATGAGCAATGAGAGTTTTTCTGGAAGAAAATACGTGCGTGAGGTTTCATGGGTTTTTTTTTTTTTGAGGTTTAGGGTTTTTTTATTATTTTTTTTCTCCCAGCAAAGCTTAGAAAGTCAGCATTCACCTTGTTTGCTCTGAATTTTTACCATTCCGCTCTTGTGTTTTTAGTTTTTTAACATAATTAAAACTTTGGACGTAGCAAAAGCCACACTCTTAGTGTTTCACACCCACAAACAGTTAACAGGGTTGTGTATGATGCTCCTTAGTTCCACTTCGCTTTTTTACATAGAAACTCAACACCTATCAGCCCAGTCCAACCCAGGCAGTTCTGTTCTGGAGCGCTCTCAACAGCAGAAGAGGGAAGAGTTCAATTGTGGCAAAAAGCAGTCAGCCCCAGACAGTGAAACCAAAGGAAGCTGCTTTCTAAAAATATCAGGGGAAAAAAAAAAAGGAGGTCTGGGAGAAGCCTTTGCAATAATCACATGGCAAGGAGGGTGTTCCTGACCAGAGGCAGAGAGAAGAAAGGCTAAAGGGACAGTAACGTTTGTGAAGATGGCTCAACGCTCCTGGCTAGGCAAGCAGAAGTTTAACCTGGCTCTGCTCAGGGAAATAAGTCAAAATAATGGACATTCTTCTTTAGAGCTTTAGCAGATGGCTCTCATCTCCTTAAATAAATGATATGAAACCAGTGTAAGTTTGAAAAAGAGTAGTGCTGCAAACCAGCCAGTGCTGTGTCCAAACCACCCAAGGCAGAGCCCTCCCGGAGGCTGACAGCACTCGGCCTTCGCAGAGGATGGCACAAGTGTGTCCTTTCAGGGGAAAATTTTTCAGCACGTCAGCAGCCTTAGTTTGGGGTTTGCGCTTAGTGGGAAATGGGAGAAGGGTGAACGTGGGCTGTAGAAATTAGGTAAAGACAGGTGCTTTACCTTTGCCTTTTCTTAGGTGTTCCGGGGCCAGCGGGAGCTGCCTGGTGCCGTGCTCCTGCCGGCCTCGCTGCAGCCGTGAAGTCCAGCGTGGAGGCACAACTGCGATTGGGATCATTTTCAGACTACGCGAACTGGCCTTACTCCTTTCCAAATGGGTGCTTGCCAGGGCTTTTCCCTTTTCCTGGAGAGCGGTGGTTTGGGCTGTAGTTACCAAGTGTTGCCAGAGCATCTCGTCAGGGTGCTTCCACCTTGAGTTCGTCAGGGCAGTCAGATGGTTAAAAATCCTCTGATATCTGAATTACTTGCAGAGGCTTCTGTAGAAGAGCTTCAGCTTCAGACGCCTGTGTCTTGGTTAGCTGCAGAGGTTGTGGAAAGTGAGCTTTGGTTGGGCTCTTGCTGTGTGTGTTGTTTTTCATTCTGCCTTGCAGAGAAGATGGATGTGGCCTTGCTGCCTCTGGGTCAGCAGTCTTGCTCTTGCCTTTTGAGTACTCTGCAGATGACTTGCAGGAAAGCAAGAAAGCTACCATATGGTACAGTACATTACAGTAATTAACCTTAAAGTGATGAATGTCCAGGCCAGGATTTTGGCGTCTGTCAAAATGAACCTTGCAATTTGGCAGGTGTTGGCTGGCAAAGGGTTGGATGGACCATGGGGCTTAAATGGTACCTGAGGGGAAGCACCACATCAACGATGATGCCTAACTCCAAGATAATTATGAAGTTGGCCCATTGTAAAGAATGCCAGCAAACAATGCAGTGCTGATATCCAAGCAAACAAGGGCAATCCAAGGACCGAAGTCGGAGCCCAGATTAATATCCTTTATGACTCTTCATAAAGCTCGGTTCACTATGGTGTCCTGATTAAGAGAAGAGAGGTGGCCAAGTATTTTGACTGCACTCAGAGCTGCGGAGGCTTGAGATGTTAACGCTCAGCTGTCTCGCAAGGACAGGGTAGGATTTTTATTGTATTAAAGTTAATGCGAACATTTATTTAGATAATCGTTTGGGATTTTCCTAGAGTGTCTAAAGCCTTTAGAAGCAAGCTATTAGGATGTTAAATCAGAATGGAATTGATTGGAGGGAGGGAGGAGCTGATTTTGAGGCATATTAAATTATTAGATTTGCATAATAAATAAGCTTGGAGGAGTGAGGACAGAGCCTGTGTTTAAGTGAGAGGGACAGTTGCAAACTCCGAGCTAAAAATGCAGTTTAGGTTCCTCTAGGTTTCTGTGCACAGTGAACACCTCTTAATTCAGCAGTGCTGCTTCCTGCAGGAGAGGCATGGAAATGGGGTGCCACTCCCGCTTGCCATGGAGGAGTGTGGTAGATATTGTGCAAGAAGGACCGTGTCTGGAATGGTTCCTCAGAGAGCTGTTGTGCTTCTTACTGCATGGACCACGTGTAACCCACAGCACAGCTCTGTGGGAAGGTCGCCCACGAAGCAGAGGTTTGTACCACTCGCCTGTTGCTTTAACAGCGACGATGGGTTCTTGCCGGTTTTAGCTCTGCTGTAGCAAAGCGTGTGGCTCGTTTATGGTGGAAATGAAAGATTAAGTGAGAAAGAAGCAAAGCACTTTACAAAGATTCTAATGTTGCAAGTGTGCTTATGCCCGTGCTTAGTTCCATACATTTCCCTTTTGTGTTTCCCATTGATTTTCTCTTGTGTGAGGGCTTTTGGAATTGGAGTTTAAGTCTAGAAGGCCATGCCTTACTGCCTTGTCTTAAAAATAAGAGAAATGACACAGACTGGCCTGTGCATGGGTCAAAAGTAAGTGATTTCATCTCATGTATACATTGCATATTAGTTTCGTTTTGTTTTTTCTTTAAAAAAAAAAGTCCTATGAGGTTCACAATCCAGGACATATAAGATTAAAACTCATTTAACTTAAAGGCACAGCTGTATGAACCCCTTAGTACTTTCAGATGTGGAAGTCTGTGCTGCATTGCTCCGACAGTGAAACCTTATGCCATTTATTGGGACAGTTGTGTCAATAAAGGCAAAATCTGCTCAGATTCATATCCATATCAGATATGAAGAAAGCATGATTTGTATTAAAAGAATAACATGTAAGTGGAGTGGAGAAGCAGCCTGGTACCTTTAAAAAAGGATGGTTTGCAACCAGGGTTACAGAAATTGTACTTCTAAGGTGATGGTTTTTTGTACTGCATCCCTCAGCAGTAGCAATAGGCATCAACTGACATGGCAGACTGCTGAAACAGATGTGGGAAAAGTGACACATGGAATTAATAACATTTTGTGTAAATCTCTCAATGATATCATCTCAAGAAATAGCGTATTGATGAATGGCTCAGCCAGAAACCAAGAAACTGGCCTCTTGAGTTCTTAATATTTGTATATAAATCTCTCAAATGAGTTTAACTGGACCAACAGATTTCTTAATGTGCTCAGTCATGCAGGAGTGAGCATCATCATGCCCATACCTTGCAAGAAGATGGTCTTCCTGTATCTCCAGGGAGACCTTAGAGCAGCCTTCCAGTACCTGAAGAGTGCTACAAGAAAACTGGGAAGGGACTCCTTATCAGGCAATGTAGCGATAGGACAAGAGGCGATGGTTTTAAACTAGAGCAGGATAGATTTAGATTAGACTTTGGGAAGAAGTTCTTTGCTATGAGGGTGGTGAGACACTGGCACAGGTTGCCCAGAGAGGTGGTGGAGGCCCCATCCCTGGAGCCATTCCAGGTCAGGCTTGATAGGACTCGGAGCAACCTGATGTAGTTAAAGATGTCCCTGCTCACTGCAAGGGGTTGGACTAGATCACCTTTACAGGTGCCTTCCAACCCAACACCATTCCATTCTGAAGGCTGCAACATCTTGTTGGAGAACATCTGCTGCAGTGGTTGATTTTAGAGCAACTGATGCTAAACCAGTAGGATGAGAGTTGGTTTCTGTGGTATGCAACACTAGTCATTTGACACATGAATCTTTTGTGTTAATTTAACAGCAATCTAGTTTGGGTTCAAAGCCAAAACTTCAAAACTGCAGTCAAATTCACATTATTTTTGCAAAATGGGACACTTGAGTGTTCCCAGCCCACTTGTAGTGTTAAGGTTGCCTGGGATGGTGCATTTCCCTGTTGTGAGGTCATGTCCCCTAGGTGCTTTATATGGTATTTTTTCAATTCTGTTATTTAGCTTCTTTCCTTTGTTACATTGCTAGTGCTGAGTGTTTCACAGAAGAAGACAGCAGCTCAACCTCCAGGCTTGCTCAGTGTTTTAAGGCTTAGGAAGCCTGGAGTTAATTCTTTATTCTACTGATAAGCTGAATCTGTAGAATTCTTGCATTCTTTGCGCATCGCCGTTTGTTTGTTGTATCTGCCGTATTGCCATGCTACAAATCTTCATGAAGTTGTTTTGTGTGTAGAATTTTGAGCAACTTGACTGAAAACTTTAATGCCAATGAATGTATTTCTTACGCTGTTACTTGGCTATTTCCCCTTCAGTGCGCATTAGGAGATGTGCCACGGACTTCTCATTTTGATTGTGTACAGTTACGCTCCGTTGTGAAGTGGTTGCTTTGCCACAAATAATGTAATTTCTTCTTCTTTTTGCAGGACCCTGCTGGAATATTTGAACTGGTGCAGGTTGTTGGAAATGGGACGTATGGACAAGTCTATAAGGTTTGGATGCCTCTTCAATTTCTGACGCTGTTCTTGATAAAACAGTTTTTCCTAAGCAGAAATGAGCACCATTTAAGAAAACGGATAATATTGTTGCAGTAATAGTCTGTTCTATCCTGCTGTCTTTACTGTTTAATGCAAAATGATGGCATTTGTGAAACTCTGTGTGCCTGCCTTCTGTCGCATTTCCGTGCCTCTCTGCTGCTACAGGTCAGATGTTGGTTTTTGTATTGACTTCCCTCTACCTTGGTTTTTTTGTGTCCTGTGGTTATTTTCTCTTTTTCAATATTATTTAGTAAGTAGACGGCACAAATTAACATCAGTGATGGCTAAATTTGGCCTGGATTGAGTGGAGAGCTCAGCCTAGACTAAACCATCAGTACCCTTCAAGACAGAGGCCTCAGTTAGCCCGGCTCTGCAGGCAGGCTGTGAAGGTTTTGATTTCTGTTATCAGAGCTGCCAGTCCAGAAACTACAGCAATTAAATGTTGTCTGCTGCAACATGCAGCGTACGCTATGCAACGCACACCTTCAGTTATAAGAATGAGTCTAGAAAAGGGTTCTTCTGCTGTGAAGCCTCCCCTGAAAATGATCGAAGAAGAGACCATGGACATGTTAAAAATAGGGAACTGAGTCTATGTTGTTCCCATTTGGAGAAAGAAGGCAGAGGAAGGAAAAGGCCGTGCTGCTGAAAAAAAATGAGCCACGGTACTGAAGGAAGCTGTCTGGTCTTGGTTCTCCTCCCAGTCCCACTGCCAATCAGCTCCTTCTGCAAGACCAGTCTGTGTACTGGTACAGGCTCTTTCTGCGTCCGTCCCTTATTGCGGGAGGAATGCAGAAATGCAGAACTGTTCATCTTTCTCTGATTCCAGTTCACTGATTGCGTGTTACGTGTCGGTGTCCATCCTCTGGTGGCAGATCTGCTGTGATGGCATTTGGGTTTCCCTTTGAAGCTATAGACACTCTTTGAAAGATTCTGGAAAATCCTCTGTGGAAGCAGTTCTGGGGAGTTTCTACTTTCCCATACTGCATTTTTTTTAGATTTATGTCAGAATCGGGATCTTTCTCCTGTAACCCTTTGTTGCTGTGATCAAGTCTGTGTTGTTTCTGAGATTGTCATTCAGATACTGAGGTCAGTACTACTAAATTAAACGTAGAGTTTCAGGGCTTCACATAGATTAGAAGCCAGGAGACATTCAGGGCTGCTGTTGTCAGTGTAATCACAGAATTTTCGACTTGTCAAAAGACCCTAAAGCTCCCAAATGGCCATTTAAATAGTTATCTTCCTTCTGGTGCTTGGATTTATTTTGTATTGGGAGAGAAAAAAAAAATCCAATTTAGTCATTTTTTAAGAATATTGAGAGTGAATCAGCTGCTTAATCACAGCAGAAACAGCAAGGAGCGACACAGTTTGCTTCTCTGCTGCAAAAGTAAAGGATTTGAGCTGTTGTGTGATCCACTATGATGTTAGTTGCAAAAATGTATAAGAAACGTCGACAGTGACAATAAAGAATTGTATCCAAAAGCATCTCTCTACTGTGCACATAGGGTATCAGGGTCTCCCAGCTCTGGATAATGGGTGATTTGAATTTTGATTCACTTGTGCTTGGACCAGCCGCAACGTATAAGCGAGGCATTGAGAGGCACGGTCTGTCAGGGCTGAGGGACTGAGGAGAAGCTTTGTGCATCACACGGCAGAGAGACTTTGGACTGCGTGTAACCCAGGCTCTGTGCAAGCACACCCGTGACAATGGCTTTGTTCATATAAACACACACGGTCGCTGAATGTGGGGTGTTCTGCTGAGGTTTGCTCTGGGGATGGAACTGCCCATTGCAGGAGGATGACAGTGAGCCAGGCAGCTGAGGAAGACGGATGATGGTGGCTGAGGTGGACAGATAAAAAGTGGGTGCTCCAAACTGCAGGCTTGGTCTCCGTTGTGAACCATTTTCACAGTCCAAAGCTCCAGAGCGTTTGAAAATACCTGTGCGGAAGATCCTGAGCACTAGCTGAGTGTACTCAGGTGAGATCTCCCAGGTGCTGGCTTTGTGAGTGGAGCAAATGTCTGTTTTCTCTGAAGGAGGGCAGCTGCAATGGAACTGCAGCTTCTGAAGCAACTGTAAAAAGTTAGGCTATGGTATTCACTTTTCTTTTTCACTGCTGTGTAGTATGTCCTTCGATCTATACACTGCTAGGACTGATGGGTTGAGTTAGGGAATGCTGGGATCATTTTGTATTTTGTCTAGTATAGCCTTGTGATCATAAATATTTAAGTCATAAAGTAATCTCAGTTATCTACATAATGTGCTCATGTGATTAAAGCACGTTTTTATTCTCCAGAGGTGTCAGAATCTTCCATGCATTCAGAAACTACACATAGTAGTTTGCGCGTAATCAAAGCTTATTTCAGGCTATATAAACTGTGTCCATGATTACTAAATCGCTTGGTTAGCTGTGAAGATGATTCATAAGGCTATATGTTTTAATACATGCGGCTCCATAAAAATGAAAATAAAATTTAGAGGATTCATCACTAGGTTTGGAAAACAATGTTTAACAGATTTATTGAAGGAGGGTATTGTTCATAGTGAATTATTTCAGGTCAGTTCCAGTTCGGTGTCTTTTTTAATGAAATGGAAGAGGTATAAATTGTACCCTTGATAATGCTAGAGCTGTCTAAAAATGTTATAAAGTTGGAATTTGCATATAATAACTGACTAAAAGCTAGCAGATTTTTTTGACAACCTATGAAGTAGTAGGACGTAAATATGCCAGTACTGGCAACTTCAGCCTTTTGGAAAGTATGAATTGGATATTAAAAAGTCAGATGATACCCAGAAGTCATGAGACTTAGGCTTCGTTTTCTCTTGAAGTGACAGATGAGTTTTTCAGTTAATTGCTGGCTTCAGGGGGCTGAAATCTGAAGAGCGATACTATGTGAGAGGTGGTTCTGAATAGTGCTGTGGAAGGTGAGAGCAGAGAGCCTTCTCTGACGGCAGCTGGGAGTAGGGCATCCGCTGGTGGTTGAAGAAGTTAGGAGTAGTTACTCTTTCATGTCTGTGTTTCCTGAACTTTGAAGTGCTGAAGGTCAGATTGTGTCCAGTCTCTGCACCATCTCCGTTGAACGCCTATAGAAAGGAGAAGTTTCTGAACTTCCCACGCTCTGCTGGGGCTGTCCATTGTGGGGGAACCCTCGAGGCTGGGGACCACAAAGACACTGCGGAGAGCACGGGGTTGCCCTCTGAAGTATGAGGGCCAGCATTTTGGGGTTCTTTTTAGAGCTGCTAATCAGTAAAGACCTTCAGACAGGGCAGAGCAATGGCATCGCGTAACTGTGGGTGTCATCTGGACGGAAGTGAGATTGCTGGAGGCGTCACCTGCAAGTTCTTGGGTTTTGCTTCCTCGCTGGGCTGCAGCCACGGTGCCTCGGTCCCCGCTCCCACAGGCTGCCTGGGGAAGCCTGAGTTGGCTGTTTGGGGTGGCAGGATACCTGCAGAAAACTATCTAGGTGATTTATAAACGCCATTTTTCTTGATTTTCTAGTAGTTGCTACATTATTGTGACAAGGTGTCCTGTTAAAGGTGGTACCTTTGGAAACATTGTGAAGCTCAGGTTTGTGGCCGCGTGGGCTGCTCCGAGTGTGCGTGAGGCTCTGTCTTTCAGTGTAGGTCTGGCTGTGGAGACCTGACAGTGTTGTGATTGGAATAAATCTTTGCCTACTCCCATTACCTCCAGAAGTTTAGTTATGTGGATGCCTTCCTCTGTTGCTGTGAAGAGCTGGATGGTGATTGTGTATCACCCTTAACGTAGAGCAGTTGTTTCTTGCTCTGCCCTTGTGCATTTAGTAATAACTAAACTGTAGGTTTGGGAGGGGAGGTGAAATACTTTATTCTTTTTCTTGCAAAGGCTCCAGCTGTTAGTTTCATGTTCTTTGAGGGGTGAGTCTTCAGTAGGAGCCTCCTAATGTATTTTCTGACTTTCAACTTTCAGTGTGGGCTCATTTTTCTAACGGGTGAATGGGAAAAGGGACTTACAGGGTAACCAAAGTGGGAGCCAGTTTTGAATTTTGAGGTCAGACAATTGCTCTTGAGCTCTGGAAGAGACTGTGGGACTCTGAGTTTATAGCTGTTTTTTTTAATCATTAAGATAAAGAGGAATTGCTCCTAATCCTATGTGTTCAGCTGTGCTCTGAGAGTCTGCATGCTTCTAAAAACGTTCTCATGGGCCAAACGAGGTCATCAGCAGCATCTGTGCAATCTGCTTGTTTTCGGATGTCGAGAGGCACCTGACTGGGGCTTTTGACTTCCTTTCTCTTAATGATGTGGATTAGCCCTCTCCTGGGTTCGGCATTTTTGAGTGGCCTAGGGAATGAGAGTTCAGTGCCTTTGGCGAGTGCCAGGGGCTGACGGTTTTTTTTTTTTTGGAGCGTGAACTTGCAGGCTGATGATAAACTGTTGACAGATTTGCAGCTGCTGTGTGTGTGCAAAATGGTTGTCTCTTTAGTGGAGTCTGAGGGCACAGGGAACTTGAGAGAGGTTGTGAGAATTAAAAGGAAAGAAGTGGTTTCCCCATAATGCAGCTGATGAAGACAAAGCAGTGCTGCTACTGAGGCTTAGCAGAGGGTGGAAGCAACCCTGCCTTTTCTATAATGGCTCTGCATAGCTAATATTCTTATTTCTGTGTAGTCACATAAGACTCTGGATACAAAAAGGAAGCAGGTCTGAGTAAGAAAGTGTTTTATTTTTTTTAATTATTTTAAATACAGCTGCTTCTTAGTATTGAATTATCTTTCAGTTGTCATGAGTTATGAGTTACTCTACTGTTAATGTACGGTGGCAGGAGTGTCATGAGGAATAAATACGACTTCTCAGTTTATCTTAAACAGTTTGAAAGCCTGCTAAGCTCTCTGTAATTCATTTCATTGAATAACTGGCTGAAATAGTTGAGACCAAGTTGGGAGAGGTGGGGGGAAGCAACATGTTTTTTTTTCTGAGACTGCATGG